GATTGTCGGGTCCCAGCTGCGAATGTGAATCTCCATGCGCCTCGATAGGCTGGAAGCCCCTCCTGGGGAAGCCAAGGATGAGGGGAAGAATCAAAGCAATGCCTAAATGAGCGCCCGCGATTGACTGAATGCATTCGGGGAACTACAGGAAGCACACCGACTTACCGCATGCTTTTTGACTTACAACGCCTCACCGCCGCCAGGGCCCTGCCACCTTTGATGCCGCCCAGCGATGGTGGACGTCCGATCTAGTTCTTGTTCCAGCGACGACAATACCTACCTAATTACGGCGTACCTTGCCCGGTAAGGTCCAGATGCTGCCAATACCAGATTGCATGCACCTCAGGTTGAGGCCTTGTACCTCCATCTGTACAACACCACAACGACAGCAAGCCACATCACCAACACCAACGCCAACAAATATCGGGAGCCAAGAGGACGAAACATTGAAACGAGATGTGCTAGCAAATCTGCCGTGGCTGCATCCAGCACATCCTCATCAATCCCACCGCCTAGGTACCTCCCCTTCCCCAGGGCTGATGCTGATGGTTCTCTGGGCGCATCGCATCGCATTGCATCCGCGCCCATCCCGCTCCAGTGACAGACGAGAACGGCCACGACGGAAACTCAACTAGGAACTTCCGTATTGATCTTTTACCCAAACTTTACCAATTTGCCCGTACATGGCATGGACACCAAAAGAGAGACCAAAAAGCAAACTAGGGCCACCAGCCAGAACGGCCATTTCCGGACCCCCGGGCTCGCTCACGGCCGTTGTTTCTTTTCTTTCCAGGTTCCTGTCCATCACTTTTCACTTCCCGGCTGTCCAATTGCTTCTCGGCCGGCAAGCTGCTGCTTGGGGGGGCCCAATCCACTGGCCCGGTTCGAGATCCCCGGTCTCAGAAATTCCGTCAACTATCACCAACTGGCATCAGATCGTTTCTTTTCCGTCAATTTGGAAGAGTTTTTTTCATCTTTTCCTTGCACTGCTTGCAGTGCTCGCTGGGGGTCCTGGAAGTCTTGGGCTTCCCTCTCATTTCCGGCCCTGTTCCCTGTCGGCTTGTTGGGCTCGGTGCCTATTATCGCGACGGTTCGACCCCAGCTTTTTTGTCCACCCTTCCCGCTTGCCCAGCCTCTCCCGTCATGACCCTGGGCATCTCATCTTAAAAATATGGGAAAATTCCCACGAGGCGTACGGATACAGCTGCAAGCCTGCAAATCCCAGGTGCCCGGAGTCAGGTTGGAAGCCATGGCTATGTTGACGAGGTTGACGAGGTTGGCGGGCTGGCCAGGGCAGGGCGAGGCGAGGCGAAATGGAAAGAAGACATGGATCCTTCGTCATTTGCGGCGCTTCTTCTTTCATCCGCCAGGAGTCGGGGCTCAATTTCCAGAAACACACGGAGGCGCTTCCGTACATCATACAGAGTGTTGGCAGAGTTACAGATGTATCATCGTCTCATTCGGTAACACGCAAAGTGACAGTCAACACCCATCATCCCCGGCCGGCAAACCAGTTCCATCTACTCCGTACGGATATAGACTAATTACAGAACACTCGATACTTACACCAAACTATCCATGGATACGAATCGTTGGTGTCTATACGGACGTGACGGAGTACGGATACACCAAGTTACCAACAAGGTTGTGTGAGTTGGATGATTCAGAGCAATCACTCGCGGGAATGCAACTGGTCTAGATGGATGGCCCCCGGATGCGACGCCGCGATGCCCCGACGATGCGGTTGGTTGTCGATTGGAATTCCGTTGGATGCCCGAATTTCCTCCATTCCTCTCCAGACAACCACCGACATCACCAACAAGCCCAAAGTCCCAACCCTGACCACCACCATCACCCATTCCAACAAGCGAGAAACCCCCCGAGCGAACGCGCAACACAACCCGGAACCGCAACCGCATCCGCATTCAAACGAAATGCGACGACAACCATCAACTTACGAATACACCCGTTCGTGGGTGGATGGCTGGCTGGATGGATGGATGGATGGATGGTGTGCCTTGCTCAGCTTGCTTCTGACTGTGCTGCCGCTGACTAGTAGCTACCATGCTCCCCCAACATCCAATGTTTCCGAACCGCAGAACTGACACCTAAGACGTCCAACCTAATTCCTATTCCAGACGCAATACGACTCAAACAACGGGTATATTACACATGCACTCACACACACCAGGGAAGGCGGTGACAAGGCGCATACCGATAATTCAGACCGCCCTGTCTCTACCGTGTACAGCACACCGAACAGGCTTACCGCCTGGTTATCGCTTCTGCTCCCTGTCTGTAAGATGCAACTTGCCTGCCTATTCAGAAAGTAACACACCGGCGACTTGCCATTCGTGCCTTTTTCAAATGCTCGTTACCGTCGCGAATCAATACGGCCGTGCTGACTGGGCTCTGGCTCAGCCCGCGGCGAATGCTTTCCCGGCCTGAGTCAGACTGGGGGTGGCGCATTCGTGATTCCATTCCATTTACAATGACCTTCGAATACGTATTGATACTCAATTTAAGTCTGTACACGGCGGTACCACCCACCTTTGTTTCCCCGGATCGTCCAAGCTGTAGTTGCGGCGGCGGTGGTGGTGGTGGTTTGTGGAGAGTGTGTATGTGTCTGTCGCCAGCCTTGGGATGAGAATAGTCAGGCCAAATCAACCCCTTTGTCAGTGACTCAGGGCCTGGGTTGTTGATTGATTGCTGACCCGAGTGACCTCACCTAAGAATAGGGTACGGATGGGCAAGGAAAAGCCGTTACGTTGCGCAGCGGAGGAACCTGTAAGTTTGTGTTCCTCCGCTTCCACATCCCTCATTCTTGTTGGTCGCACAAACGAAGAAACGGCGAGATCGTATTGGGTCTCGAACGCGAGTTTGCGACGGGCGGGAGAGGAGAGGGGCCCCCTCCCCCGCGAATAAGCCATCTTCATCACCGTTTGCGTCGTCAGCATTCAGCAACGACAACGGATTTGTCGCAGCCCATTTTCGAATGAGATGGCAGAGGCGGCAACTCGCAATATGAGTGGTCCCCGCCATCAACGGCAGAGTCTCGTCCCGAATTCGGGGTTGTGCCACACCGCAGGGCATCCCGTTCCTGGACCTGCCAATTGTGCCCTTGCCTTGGCTTTGTAAAAGGGCGGCGGGAATGTATCCCGCAGGCACGCAAGGGGGGTGAGAGAGCGATAGATGCTAGATCAACCTTCAACCACCAGCTGGGCAAGCATTTCCAGATATCCGAGCATACAGCGAGCTAACACGCAGGGGAAACCCTCTTTGGCAATTCAAAAAGCTGAAGGCGGTCATGGCCCATGGACCTATCGAGACTGGCTGACAACTTAATTCCAAGACAGACAAGATGGACGGCGATCGTTCTGGACTTGGTCGCGGCAGGCAACATTCTTTAGAGTTTTGCATATTCCCTGCCCATCGATTGCCCTGATTTTCTATTTCGTCCAGTGTCTGGCAATGACTCCAACGAGTACCTTGTGAAACAAGCTCGACGACGACAAATGCCACCGCAGCAGCAGTAGCAGCGGCAGCACATGCCTGACGGGCGAGCGGCGGCGCGGTTGCAATCGAGTCGCATCCGGTCCGTGCCAACTACGGGACTTACTCGACGATCAACACCAAGCGGTAGGTAGCCGAGGCGGTAGCACCAATAGGTCGAAAGGAAGAAGCAGAAAAGATCAGACTGAAACGGGATTAAACCACGTACGGCTATGTTCCCCTTCGCAGTCAAGCTCTTTGGGGTAGCCACAGACGGTGTGGTTATCGACACCGACGCCACACCGAGCAAAGCACCGCAAATCGCTTCCGCCTGCCACTTCTTTTTCCGCAGTCTCCCCTCAGGACCCTTTCACAAGCTTGAGGTGGCTGAGGGAGAGAAGCCGAATAGGACCCCGAAAAAAAGGAAGCCATCACAAGCGTCTCCGTCCCGCAAGGCCCGGCGTTGCATCTATTTGCAACAAGTGCACCGAGCACAACGCACCGGAACAGCCACCGCGGCATCGTCGACCTACCCAAAACCGCAACGCCCGACCCCAGACCGCGCGACGACACGACGCCAACGCCAGATAAAACCCTTTAGCTATCTATCTATCGGGCGGGTGTCGCGATTCATGGTGGTAGCGTTCACCCCCTGGACCAAACGCGCACCGAGCGACCGGAAGGATGCCCGCGGGGCTAGGTAGGGGGGGGGGACCGGGTTACAGACACCAGAGAACCAGGAATTGAGATTGTCCGCCCTGGACGACCTTCTAGAAAGCCGCTAGACGGTTTTTTCCCCTCTTAGCCTCCTTCTTCTTCCTCCCCCTGCGACGGCGGAGGGTGTGCGTGTTTGGGTGTTGCTTATCCCGGTTCATCCCCCCCGTCCCCCGAAATTGGACCGGCTGCGGGTTGTGGGACCCGTAGAAGAGAAGAGCAGAAAGCGTGGTTTGCGTGGGTGTGTGGATGCAGTTGCGGCAGGGGGTCCTGTTCCGGTCTAGCGGGTGATTGCGCGCTCTTCTCCCTGACGTGCTGCTGCTTTGAGCGTTTGGGTATTTGCGATTTGCAGTTTGCAGTTTTGCCCTAGGACTTTCCGGCTCTTGCTCGGTTGCTGCCGGATTAGTCTACCGGGTGGATGGAGGGAGGGCAACGGAAATGGTCATGCAGTGTGTGGAATGCATAACTTCCCCCTTCCCTCCCCTTGAGTTATGCTCCCGGAAACGGTGGCCGCGAAACGGTCAGACCGTTTTGGGATTGTGGGACTGCTCGCCCCGAGGCCATGATACACCACTGAAAGATGTCCCCATCGATCGGGGAAGTTTGTCAACAAGGGATCTGCGTTCGGCGTTCCAGAGCCGTTGAGCCTTATTGCGGTTCCATCTCGTGGAGATGAAGATGGAGATTCCGCAACCGCCGGCCGAGAGATTGGGGGTGTTCTAGCTGACAAGAGCGTCGTTCATCTCTTGTTCGTCGCGTGCGTTGGAATTTTGGTGGTCTTACATCAGCCATTCTTACGCAGCATGCTTTGGGTGCAGGGCCTGTGGAGGTTCACCGGTCTCGTCGTACGGGTTGTCAGATCGTGGGGGATCATCGGGGTGAGCTTGAATGATCAGTGATAGGCTGAACGGTCTGACTGAGAGCAGAGCCGCTTATGAGAGCAGCTTACAGATGGCATGCTGAGTCAACTGCTTCTGGCTTGGGGCCGTTGGGTTACTGGGAGATGCGGCTTTGCGGCGAGGGGAGAAGTAACGTGTCGGTGTTGTTGTCCTTTGAGTTGCGGTGAACTTGAGCATTGGGACAGATATCGCTGTTTGTATACCTGTTGCCGTGCTGTTTGACTTGGTTCTAAACAAAAGCGAGGCTTCTACAAGGCTTTGCGTGGTTAAGCGGCCTCCTGCAGAGTATCTCCTTTCTTGTGTGAGGATATTGGGTCACATATCGCAAGGAATGAGGTTTCTAGATCTCAAGATAGACAGCCTAGTTGGATGAAAAGGCCACTGACCTGCTTCGTGGAGACAAAGTCAACTCGTGAGGCTTATTGAGATTCGCCCGGAACCATGCATGAATGGGCACATCGAGTTTACACTTACACCAAACCTCTCACCCAAACCAACAAACCCTCCCAACGATCGATCGTGCTTAGCTCCATCGAAATGGAAGAATCTATTCGCCGTAGTAAGACACGCTACTGTCGCTACATTTATGCCAAACAATAGTCTCTCCGCTCCAGTCTAATCCTACCCAACGCCGAGATCGAGGTTCCTCGACGCCTCGGGCCGGATGTACATCGACGAGAACGGGGTGGAGCAGAAGTGGGTTTGAACTGCCTAGCCGCGTTCGTCTCGTGTCGTGGAAAGAGAGTTTAAGGAGATGCAGACCTTGTGTGATGGTGGTCCAGGGGAGTTGGAGGCTGTTGAGGGGGGTGGGGCCCGGAGACGGGGATCGGGATCGGGATCGGGGTGGGTACCGGAGTGGGACAGTAAGAATGAGGCCAAGGCCGTCTTTGAGACTCGTGTATCATGTTGGAGATGCCGGATCTGAGAAGGGGGGTTCATTTGACTGGCGGCGGGTATTATCTCGAGACTTGGAGGGTGGAGGATGAGGATGGGGAAGGGGGGATGGTTTGCTTGCTGAGACGAGGTTGCGAACGTTATTTTCGAAGACGGCGAGTCTCTGAGAGGTATTGTGGTGTTGAGAGAGATGTCTGAGTTAAGATTTTGTTGATTGTGGTTGTGGTTGTGGTTGAGGGTTTCAAGGCTGTCTTGAACCGGATGCGGTACGTTCGAGGGGACATGCTCGGGCGAGAGATGAGATATCAGGTGCGGACAAGGCAAACATATCTTACTTGCGATATCTCGATTGGTTGAGACTCAAGTTTTCGAGTTTGCGGAAAACATCTTGCAGGGCTTTGACTGCGATAGGACAGTGATAGATCGTACCTGCTAATCTTACGATATCACGATCGATGGTGCAAGACAGTCTTGACGCTTCATCATCAGTCCTGTCTGGGCATCACTGATAGGAGACATGCCGCCAAAGGCCTGTGAAAGCTTCGCCAAAGAGGTGGTGGTACCACTTGATGAACTTTTTTTTATTTTTGACAACCCGATCTTGACTCTATCTTGGCTTCGATGCTCATAGGAAGCAACAAGCGAAAATAGATGTATTTCCAAGGATGATATGTGCGTCGAGGACTACCAACTGAATTGAACAAGCCACTTGCTAGTCTTGCCGAAAGACTTACAACAAACGATGCTTGAGTGCTAAGAAGGGGGAAATCTGCACTTCCTATCACTTAATCGGATGAGACCCTGGATATTGAGGTTCTCACCAAGATCACATGAATGCTTAAATCGTCACTATCATACAATGCCCGATGAACCAGTGGAATCCCTGCTTGGCATGCTATGGACAAGTGCTTACGCCCCTCTTACCATCCTAGTAAATTAATGGGCCGAATGCTGGAGGGCTGCCACAGCTGCAGTAAACCCCCATGTCTTCAACGGTCTCGATGTTACCATGATTCTTCAATAGGTAATTCGAGCGTGGGAAGTATCTGACATCAACTCCCTTCTTGGCAGAAAGTGTGATGATCGATAGCGTCCCCGCAAAACCCCCTCTTCTGCTTGTGGCTTGATGATGGGGCATAGACTGGTACATAGCGTTGGGATATGTCAGAATACAATAGACGGAGGACGTGATTGTTTCCTTTACTCATTTACCATCGTTGTTGCGATCAGCTTATATCTGCTGTCCTCCCTCGCATCTTGGACCCTCGCGAAACCAGAATACCGAACAAAAGATGGCAATCTCCCCCGAAGTAGCAGAAATCATCCGCCGCAAAAAAGCCCAATACTGCCGCTTCGCCGACACATGCGACTGGGACCGCTTCGACACAATCATGCTTCCCACCCTCATCTTCGAGGCCTTCGACCTGGACGGCAGCATCCTGACCCTCAACGGCGTCCGGTACCGCTGGACCTCGCGCGAAGCGTGGGTCGCGCACTTTAGCGAGGCCTTTAAAGTCATGCAGACGATGCACCTGACGGACGCGGGGGACCTGGAGCAGGTTTCCGAGGACGAGGTCAAGGCTGTGTTTGGGGTGATTTATCACGCTGGAACGAGGGGCTCGGAGTCGGGGTTGCATTCTACTGGTGCCGGGCATTATCATGAGACGTGGCGAAGAGTTGAGGGGGATTGGTTTATGGAGAGGTGTTGTATGAGGAGGTTGTATTCTAAGGTGATGCAGATTTGATGTTCTTATGGGTTAACGGCGGTATTTTGGGGTTGGAAGATGAATTGATGTCATGCAGATGTTAAGCCATGTTTTCCATAGTCTGAATGTAGTTGGTGGTGTTTTCTTAGTTTGGTTCGCTGCTAACCCAGAGGTTGTTGAGCTTTGAGAGAAGACAACAGATTGAATCATTTTCTATTATACCTGATGTTCTCCCAGCGGCGGCAGGGCACTATAGTATCACGGCGAATTAGCTGTATGAATAGCGTCCTGTGCCGCCGATGCCGTTTCTTTCTCCGTCTGGGCCTGTCTCCCTTCTGATGCCATCCTCCACCTCTCTTGTGACATCTCACCACTCCCTACTTTTCCCTTATTCGTTGCTGTTAGTCTTCCAATCTTAACTACGCTTTACGATTTTATCGTCGCTCCCCGTGAACCTAGTCAAAGTGGTCCAATGGTCCGATGGCCTCGAGACAAGGAGACAATCAAGCCCGGTAGAATTGTATCTCGCATGCTTATTAGAGGGCCTCCGAGCCGAGGAATACAGCACTATGACTGATCTGACATTAATACAGTATTCCGACAACGAGGCCAAAGTCGTAAATCAGTATCTAACCAATTTCCACGTACGATCATCTACGGGATCAAATTATGAGGTCCTTCGTATGTCCAAGAGAGAATGCTATTTCGTCCCTCAGCCTTTGGTAACTCGCACATGATCCTTTGGCAAAAGCTGCTCCGACGAGAGCCACGATGCCATGTTGTCGAATTCACTCTCAATTTGCCCAAGTAACTTAATGCGCTGTCTATATATAGCCATAGAAGTTGATCTTGAATTGATTTCAATCCATTTCAATACACCAATCAAGTAAAATCCGACATCAGTACCATCATCCTTGGAAGAATGACCGCAAATCGCCCAACCGGCCACTTGAGAGGCACATGTAGCCTCAGTGAAAGGAAACAAACAATGAGAAGAGGGACAAGCTGGCAGCGAAGGATCTCAGCACAACCAAGTGCTTTTCTGAAGACTTCCACAAACAATGCCCACCGAAGCGTGGTGAACAGCTTACTTAGAGAGGATAAGACGGCATTCTCCGTGTGAGACATGGCGGGCGCTGCCAAGTTGAGATCTCAGATCTTAAAATCACGACCAGGGACGTCTGAAAGGTATGATTGAAAAATTTGGCTTGACAAACGGGGAAAATGGTCTCTTTTGGTGCATGATGGGAAGATCAAGTATGACCTAATTGCTCACCACATCGAAACAACGAGCTGGACAAAGTTGGAAGACATTTTTTCGTTTGAGGACTTTCTTTTTGAGTCTCTTAACTTGTGCAAATAGCCAAGCGAGAGGAACTGTACAATGTCCTTTGGCCTAGAGTCACCCGTCTGACCTTTCAACACGTGAAGAGAATGTTTACTTCTGAATGATGGCTACTCCAAACGCCAGACGAAACATGAAGATGACCCGGGAGCACAATGAGAGCCACAGAAACTGTGTAGATCTGGACACGCCCGACAAATTGCTGGGGAAAGCCCTGCCAGGCCTGGATGTGTCTCCGTCGTTGTATCTGGACCCTTGTGTGGAATGTTGCCTTTAAAAAAGCCGAGCTGACAGAATTGGCCCGTGAAACAAAACACCGTACGCCGCCTTTATCGATATGCAAGCCCTTAGCTCCGCAAGGCCTCCAGTCTGTTGCGCATCTGATTCATCATAGCCTCGGCATCCTCTTCCTCCTCCTCGACCTCGACCGGCTTGGGTTCTTGCGTGACCGGCGCAGCGGGGAGCTTCTCCTTGGACATGCGGTCCTTGAGAATCTCGCCGAGGACCTTGTCGACCTCGCCCTCGGCCTCCTCCTCGTCGAACTCGTCCATGTCCTCGGGCAGACTCTCGCCCACCATCTCCTCGATAATCCCGGCCTTCATCAACTCCGCGCTGAGTTCCTGCATCGTGCCGGCCAGCTCAGGTAGCCGAATCAAACGGTTGACGTCCTTCATCACGCCGACGCTCGCGCGGATGCTGCCCTCAATCTTCCTCACGGCAAACGCCTCGTTGACCTGCATTTGCACGCTGTTCAGTTGCGCCTTGGAAGTGACTAGACGATTGCTCGTCTTGCGCGCGCGGATGAGTTCCCGCGCAAAGTCGCGCGCCTCCTTCTGTGCTTGTTTCTGTCTCGTCGGGTCTCGCTGGGCTCGCTTATCGGCTTGGAGGATGAGGTTCTTCGTCTTGGCCTCGACTTGCCTGACTTGGTTGATGTCGCGGTCGAGTTTACGTATATTCGAGCGAATGAGAGCGTTGCATTTCCGCAGCTGTTCAGATACAAACTCATTAGAAATTTCCCAAGGCACTGCTGCCACGACGGGCGTAATCTACCTGTTGCTGCGGATCAGGCTTGACGAATATGGCTCTCAGCGTCTCCATGTTGTGCGGATCGACAAGCAAAAGGGCCGAAGGAAACCGTCAATACAGAGAGCCTAGGATACCGAGGCTTCGTGATGGTATGTAGTGGATGGTTCTTCGTAGCGCGTTGTGTTAAGGCTGTCGCCAGCCTCGTC